GTCAGCCCTGCACAGCAGCCACACGTCTGGCCTCCTGCACAGAGAGCAGAAGCACTCCTGGAGCTGCAGTTTTCTGCAGGGACCTTTTGCCGGTTTCAGTGGAAGATAAACAAAAACAAACCAATAACAGAAGTTGCCCCTCTGGCTGACCTGGAGCGTGGCACAGGGGTGGGATGCAGAGTGCTGGGAGTTTGCCCTCCTGCCCCCACAGACAAACAGGTCCAGGGTCCTTGCCCCAGGAAAGCAGAGCAGGGGATAAGCACAGGGAGGCTGCAGAGCTGTGCCAGCACTGCTTGGAAATGCTGCTTCATCAGCTGCCATCTTCCAGACCTGAGCTGAAGAGAGGAAAAACACGGCATAGGGAGAATGGGGTGTGCGCAGGGACATCAGTGGGACCATTACCAGGGGCAGAGCACACAGTGCTCACTGCAGGGCAGCCAACGGGAAATGAGAAATGGGAAAGAGGCAGCTGGGCTTCATTTGGGGAGAAACAACCCGAAGGCTCAAATCATCACAGAGCCCCAGCCAGCAGCCCAGATTCTACGCATCCAGATTACTGATAAACAGCAGAAATTATGGGGCAGATGGAATTCCTGGAGCTGCAGCACTGCCTCTGCAGGGACACAGCACACGTGAGCCCCCTGTCCCACACCACACAGCGGCACTGGGCCCGATTCCCTTTCAGCACCTCTCTGACAGCAGGGGGGTCCCAGCCCATCCTCTGCCACAGATGCTGGGAACATCTCATAACACACCCGAGGTCTCACCTCACCCCCCCCCGCAGCCAGACACCCAATGCCCGCAGCCCCTTGCCCACGGGAAGCCTGTGCTGCAGATCCCCCACACTGCATGGGATCCATCCGCACACACAAAACCCCACAACCCGGCTTGGAACGATGCTGCCCCAGCTCAGTAACACAAACATCCTCTGTGCCTTTGGGAGCAAGCACAGCTCGGCAGGGTTCCCCCGACCCAGAGCCGCCTGCGTGTCCCTGAGCCCTGGCTGCATGCCCAGTCCCCCAGACAAGCGAGGGCAGAGCTGAGACATCAGTTCTGGGCTTTCAGTGAGGAAGGAAGGAAGGAGAGGGAGGAGCTGGAGGCAGCACGCAGCAGGGATGCTGTGAGCGGGGATGCTGCAAGGCTGGCTGCTGGGGACATGGGACAAGGACACACAGCACAGTGCTGGGCAAAGGACTGGGTGCCCGTGGGGACAGCAGAGAGCAGCGCCCCGAGCAGCTCACAGAGCCACGGCAGCTCCCTGCCCCTCACCCACCAGCACCCAACACAGCTCCTCTGTGCCCGGAGCGCCCCGGGGTCGGCAGCCCGGTGGGACGAGCTGCGCTGTGTTTCACGTGGAGCCCACAGGGCAGGTCGGTGTGGCTGTGCCAGGTCGGGACGTGCAGCGCAGGTGATGGCGGCGATCAGCCCTGTCATTACAGCACCGCTCCCCGTGCCGGGCGTTTCGTCACCGCGCTGTCATCGCACCCACCGCCCCTCCTCGCCCTGCAGCACCGCTTGCCTCATCCTCCACTCCTCCATGGAAAACACAGCTGGGACTCAGCCCCGGCACGGAGCTCGGGGAGGTGAGGTGAGCCCACAGCCCTGCGGTGCCACCCGGCTCTGCCGCCGCTCCCCACTGAGCGGCACTCGGTGCACAGCTCCTTCCTGAGGATGCGATGGATTCAAGCTGACAGCGTCGGCTCAACCCCACACAACCAGAGCTGACTCGGTGCTGGAGGTCACAGATCACACCCGGGGCTCCCAGATCAGAGCAGAGCCCATGGGAGCTCCTGCAGGAACAGGAGAAATTGCGAACTGCAGTCCCCGGCAGTCCAGGGTTTGTTTTAGGTGCCTATAAGGGGATTCATCACCCTTGGTATTCAAACAATGCCGTCAGAACACTTCCAGGAATCAGCAAGAAGAAAAAAAAAATCCCTTTTATATGCTCCCCTCCGGGAGGTCGGAGCGCTCCAATGCTGAACTGAACTCAGCGACACAAAGGAGCGCAGGATGGGGCTGGCGGGCACCCAGCAGCTGGGCAGCAGCTCGGCGTCCCCATGGCAGGGAAGGAGAGGGCCGTGGCACAGCCCCACACAGCGCCGTGCCACCTAAGGAAGGAACAAAGAGGCCCCGCCGGCGGCTCCTGGGCCGCCCCAACCCACTGCTGAAATGAGATCAAAGCTCTCCGGCTCCAGGTACCACCAGCACTGCCTCTGTGCCAGCGGTGACCGCAGCTCTGCCGCCCACAGCGCCCGGCGCTTTGCTCTCTGAAGCACGTCGGCATTTTCCTGGAAGATGGCAGAGAGGAGCAGCACCGCTCAGCACGGCGCCCGCAGCCACGGCCCCACGCAGGTGGAGCAGCTCCAGAGGCCTCACCGCGTCCCACAGAGACGATGACGGCACCGCGAAGGCAGCAGAACGCCAGGCAGGCGAGGCAGGGCGCGTCCCGCCATGGGGAACACAGCGGCTGCAGCCCCTGCTGTCCCCCCACAGCCCCGAGCGAAGCACTGCTGCACAACACACCGGAGGCCCACAGGTCCGGCCCATGCACTGCGTCACCTTCTGGCCCCCAGCTCCCCCTGTACCGGAGATGCCGCCGCTTCACTCTGCCTCCCAAAAGCAGAGCCGCTGGCCGGGGGCATCCATGCCACTTAAATTGTGCCGAGTCCTGTGCAGGGGGCAGCTCCTGAGAGGATGAGGAAGAAGCATTTCCTTCCATAGCACTGCCCGGCCCCGCCGGCTGCACAGCCCTCATGCAGCTCACACTCATCATCGCTGAGGAATGATGTTTATCTTTGCAGGAAGGAATGGTAACGGCAGCTCAACGGCCACAGCTGCCACCCTTTTGCCTTCAAAGCTGCACACCGGCCCAGCAGGGCACAGGTGAGACCCAGAGACACCATCCAGCTGCCTCCCTCAGTGCAGAAGATCAGTGGGGAAAAGGAGCTCCAGCCATACAAGCAAGGCTCCAAGGAGCCCCAGCAGATCTGTACCATGGTTCTCCCCTGCAATGCACAACGACTCCTTCAGCCCAATGTTATCCCCTCCCTAACAACAGGTCAGGCAGATGCAGTGACACCCATCCCCTGCTGTCCCAACCCCAATGCACCACAGCGAAGGGAGAGAAAGCAGGGAGGGTGAGGAGATGGAGTGGGAAATGACTGAGAGATGGACGTGCTGACACTACAGCTCCGAAGTTCTACCCATAACCCCCCAAAACATGAATTATCTTGAAGGAAGGATTTCACCAGGATTGACTAGTTAATGTTCAAGCACTCTAAGCACAGTAATGCAACACCTTGTGCACCTGGGCAAACTGCCCATGTGGTGTGGGGGCACGCTCTGGCAGTGATTTCCTGCAGGGCAAAGCATGGGGCCGGGACGTGTGATGGGAGCAGGGCTCAGCCCCATGCTGGGTACTCACAGGCAGACCCTCCTCCCTGCTCAGAGCCCTCCATGTCCACTGCAGCAGCACCTCCCAGGGGACAGAGCCATCCCCAAAGGCTCCACCGCTGCTCCCAGTGCCATGTTGGGAGCACGTGGCTGCACGTCCCAGCATGTGCACGGCATCACCGCCCAGCAATGAGGCAACGGGGCCGGGACCGCACCGAGCCCCTGGGCGCAGCCCCACTGGGGTGCACTCGGATGCTCAGCCACCGGCTTCCAGGTCCACAGAGGTCCCCGTGCCCCCAGGGGAAGGTGAAGGCCACCAACTCAATCTGTGCACACACTGAGGGCTGCAATCAGTGCACTTCCCAGCCCTGCAGCCCACACATCCCTGTTCCCACTCCCGCCCCGGATCGGGGTGCAGCTGGACGCTCAGCCCCACGCGGCGCCCACGGCTCCGAGCGGCGCAGTCCGGCAGCAGAGCTGCAGAACACCTACCTGCCAGCCCAGTCACGCTCAGCATTTCAGCTGCCTACACCAGGAGGCTGATAAAGAAAGCAATCACGGGGATGTGCCATCTGCTTAACCCCTGCTCTGCAGCTACAGAACAGATCCGCAGCCAGGAAACGGGCACGCACCACAGCGGGACCCATTGGTCCGGCTACAGGCAGAGGCCCCACTGCTCATTTTAACTGTAAAGGCCATTTTTTACTAAGCAGCTCCATGCAGAAAGCTGCTCCCCACATTTCCGGGAGCTCACACCACAGCTCCCGGCCCAGGCAGCACCAAGCGCCCACCTGCCCCTGTGCCCGAGGCCCATTCCTGAAGGATGAGGTGGGGGAAGGGACGAGCCGGGAGAAAACCTGAGTCCCAGCAGGACAAGCAGAGCCCCGCAGTGGGGATGAGGCAGCATCCAGCAGCCCAGCAACCTCACGGATCACCACTATACAGCTCTCACAGCAACGGCGGGACGTCCTGGGAAAGGAGGGAAGCTGGGAAGGGAAAGAAGGCACAGGAAAGCCTCAGTCCCTGAGAAACACTCATTTCCCCTACGCTGAATGCAACCCGTGACCAAACTCAGGGCCAGCCCGGCAGCGCGGCCACCCCCAGCCGGGTATTTCCAGCCGGCCCGGCACGCCGCGGACGAGGGCAGGGGCACCGCGATTTCGTCTTCTTTCGGCACTGAGAAAAGCGATGCGGTGCGGAGGGGCAGAGAACGGCCGCGTTACGCAGCGCCGGCACCGAACAGAACCGCCCGCGAGCGTCGGAGGGCACGTTGGGCACCGCGGGGTCACATCGCCCTCCCGAGCCCCGCGGTTCAGCAGAACGGACCCGGGTACAGAGAAACGGTAACGGGGCGGGCAACGCGCGGCCCCCGGGGATCGCCGCCCCCGGCAGAACCGCGCGCTCACCGCGCACCGCCCGCGCGACACGCGGCACCCCGGGACACCGCACCGCCGTGTGGGGCCGTTGGAAGCCCACCCGGGGCGCGGAGCCGCGGGGACGTTCGCTCGCCCCGACCGCAGAACCGGAGCACCGCGGCCCCGCAACCGGGAGCCGAGGACAGCCCGGAGCGGCGCCGGGCCCGGCGGGCCGCCCGCGGAGCGCCGTACCTTTGTAGCGCTCCAGCACATCTTCGTAGGCCTGCACGAACTCCTTCTCCTGACTGCGGTCGGCCGGGAGCAACCCCGGCACGTACCCGGCCATGGCGGCCTTTGTGCCGGCGGCCTCCGAGCAGCGCCCGGCGCGGCGGTCAGCGCCGATCTGCGCGGCCCCGCTTCCGCCCCGCGCCACCGCCCCGCGCCGCCCACGGCCACGCCCACCCGCCTCGAGGTCACGCCCACCCGCCTCTAGGCCACGCCTCCCTCAGACGACGCCCACTGATTGGCCCCGCCCGTCTCTGGCCCCGCCCAACCGACGGCGGCACCGGGAGCACCGCGCCCTCTGGCGGTAGCGCTGTGTCGGCACCTCCCGGGGGCGGCGCTCGGCCCGGTGCGTCCTACCGCCCCCCGCACGCCCAGAGCCCCGCTCGCAGCGCAACCCCTCGTCCCGCCGTTCACCCCCAGCACGGAGTCCCGGTGCTCCCCTCTGCCCCCAGCGCACCGGGGATGCCGCGCACGCTTCCCCCGCCCCGGCTCCGCCCCCCCGATCCCGACGGGCGATTCCCGGCGTTCGGGGCCGCCGCAGGACGCGGCTTTTTGGCCCCGGCCGCGCCGTTCCCATGGCAACCAGCGCTGAGCGAGCGGTAACCGTGGCGACGCACAAAGCCCCTTCCGCGCCGCCCTGGCACCGTCGCCACCCCGCACCCATGGTCTGGCGGCACCGCATCCCCCGAGGACGGCCCCGCACAGGGCACGGCACCGCGGGGACGGCCTGCGGCACCTCCCGCTCCCAAACGCTCGTCTCCCTCCTCCCCCCTCCCCGTGCCCCGCGCACGGAGCTCAGCGCGCAGCGGGGACCGCGGCCCCTCCCCGGGATCCCCAACGGCCGCCCCTGCAGCGCCGCTCCCCCCGCACAGAACGCGCTGAGCGCTGCCGCTGTGCTCCCGAGGGACAAAGGAGCATTCCCCGCAAACGCGTCCCGAATGCGGACGGAGCGGTAAACACTGCGGCCAGCACTGCCCGATATCACCGCCCAGCATGGCCCAGCACCGCTCCAGACCCACACAACAAACCCAAACCCTGACCGCGCTGCCCTGCAGGATGTAAACGTGTAAACTGGGATCCTTGAAGAGCGGCCCCCCCACCGCAGCCGTCACCCCCAGGAGGACACGCGGACCGGCAGCCCCCGGCCCCATTGCCAGCCGCTCTGCCCTGCCAGGGACTCCGCCACGTCCCCGTTTCCTCGCTCCGGTGGCCATAGAGGGGACCGTGACCACTCGGCCTCACACCGACAGCGTTGTCCCGGCGGTGCCACCGCACTCCCCCAGGGCACAGAGAGCGTGGGGGCGGTGGGGGGGCTGAGAGCCGTGCACGACCGCGGGCGCTGTGCCCGCAGTGCCCGCACCGCTCACAGAGCCCAACGCTGCAGCAGCCGCCGCCCCCAATCCGGGCCCAGAGGGACCGATCCCCCCCCCCGGGTGTGGGGTGAGCGTTGTGTAATGCAAAGCTCCGAATCAACATTTCAGCTCCTTTGCAAACCGCTGACACCAAACTGTCTCCAACTCTTTCTTCCCGGCTCGGCGCTATTTGCACCACGCGAGTTATTTTTAATGGGAACTCTGCATGAGATCGGATTTTGTGACATCCCTTCGCCTTTAATCATGGGTTGGATCGACCCAGCGCGACGGTGGGAGTTCGGCAGCCCCATCCCGGTGCTCGCAGCGGAGCTGTGCGGGTGGGACGGGACCGGGGCAGGACGGGGCGGCTCTTCGCTGCCCGCGGCGCTGGCGGTGGGGCAGGGCCGGGCCGCACCCTGCACATTTGCCTCCCCTCGGTCCCAGACGGCGCTTGCAGAGCCTTCATTTGAATCAACTGGTTCTTCCTGCCCAGAGCACGTGAGAGCGCACACAGCCCCGTGTGCCGGTACTGGGGATGGGTATTGGGGTGCTGGGGGAGGCAGGGGCTGGTGGGCGCTGAGGGCTCGGTCCGTCTCGTGTTTTCCCATGGGCAGACCACAGTCAGGGTCTGAGGTTTCGCTGGGGCTCCTTGGAGGGGTCTGGAGGTGCCAACATCCCAGCATGGCGGTCAGCATCCTCCTCCTCTGCCCTGCAGCACGGGCTGCACCCTGAGAGCCCTCGGGGGAACTCGGTGTCCCTGTGCCACCAGCACAGTCAGGGCTCAGCGTGGCCCTTTGGTGTGGCACAGGCTGCCCCGAGAAGCCCCGGCACACAGCCAAACCCGGGAGGAAACCCCAAACCTCCCAGGGCAAATTCCTGCCTGAGTCTGGCCAGGGGCATTGCTCCAGCAAGGAGCCACTCAGCCCTTAATGAGGCCCCTAACGTCACCCAGTGAGCCCCGGAGGTGATCCATCATCAGCTGAGAGCAGGACCTGAGCCGCAGCCGTGCTCAAAGCCACCACGGAGCCAAATCTCACCGCCACCAATGGCCACATCCCTTAACTCCCCCCC